TTTCCTTCCACTTTGCAATTGTGATAGAGAAAAAGCGCGCGTGCAAAATCGGCCGTCCGTTCTCGGAGACCCGTTGTTGACTTTTAATTAATTAGTATATGATTATTTTCCAGAGATAAAAGAAAGGAGATTTGTAACACGCGTGTGTATTATCCATGGGCGTGAACGTGATAACTTTGTAATTTCTTTTTTGACCAGGAAAAAGTCACCACTCGCAATTCATAATTCTATTTATGCAAGTCCCTTTGCTAAAACAAAGGTCCGTTCTGCACCTGCGCCGTTAAATAGATATTAGCAAGCGTTACGAACGAGCATTATTTATTTCTTGTATTTATATTTTGTCAACTGTAGAAAATATTAATGTTAGTTCATGAATTTTAATTATCTGGTGCTCAACGCATTTCCTCCGATGTGAAGCATTCCTATCGATGAAGTTTCACGTGACATCGTAACAATTCGTTACAATCTCACGAGAAATTTTAGCAACATTCTTGTATAGCATACTTTCACAAACACAGATACAAATCGGAGAGAATATGCAGTCACTCACACACATATACACACACACACAGCATGTACACACATAAATAAACAAGATAAATTGCATATTCAATTTACGTAACGTTTCGGACTGGCGATCGAAGGATCAACAATCCACGTATCGTAAAATTATTTTTGTATGTTTTATTATTTTGTGAATCTCAGTGAAATGGCTATAAGTGATTTACGGCACAATTTTGTGGCCGAAACGGTCATTTTTCGTTTCAAGAGGAAGAACAAAAAAAAAGAAAGAAAAGGAGAAACCTGAGATACATGAGGACTGAGTCGTGTGTATTGATGCTTTTGATGTTTTCCGATGTAGAGAGAGACTTAATGAGGTAAAGTTAGAGAGACCCGGTGCACGAGATACCTGTTTTTCCTGTGGCACGCATTTTTCCTGTTCCATTCATCGTCCCGTAGACGCGACTCTTAAAATCTATGTAATTACATCTGAAAAAATAAAAAAAACGACAAATTGCTTGCTTCTAGCGTATGCCGTCCTTCTCTCTACGTAAAGAATCTCAGCAATTTAATTGCAAGTGCCAAAATGAAAAAAAAAGGAGGGAAAAAAAAGAAAAAAAAAGGGTTACCGATAAACGCGAAACGAGTCGTCGCATGCGCGATACGCACGCATACACATACTTCTGTACAAATTTTATTAGAGACAGAGATGTGACGGTTAGTTGAACCTAGCAGACGTGAGAGGTGATAATTACATATCAACATATCAATATAATTAAAATAGTATGTAGTGTATGTCTGCGCGTGTCTGTATGTGTACACATATAAACGTGTATGTTTGTACATATATATATGTATATATAATATATATTAGGTATATATTATATATATTTATTATATATATTATATATAAATTAATTATATATAACATATATACATATATATATTCATATATACACATTCATATTGTATATATGCCTGTGTTTGTATAAATATATATATATATATATTTTCATACAAACACAGGCATACACTATGCATTTTATATAATTGAGATACGTACGAATTACACCCACAGTCGCGTTTCACGTAGAAAATCCATTCTATTCCGACGTGATTGAATAAACGAAACGAGCATACGCATATTCGATGAGAAATAGAGAGAAGGTATATGAAAATTGAAAGACGAATGGACAAAAGTGACGGGAGAAAATATCACAGTGAACGATACGAACAGGAAGAGCATGTCCAAAATGTTGAGATTTGCTTACTACATTTTGTTGTTGCCATATTTCGGCTTTTAACGCTTATTAGGAGAGAAACGTTATGAAATTTTAATGGTTGACAACATTCAAATAGATAATTATTTGTCGTTAAAATCTATTATCATCATTGTTACTATTCCATTACACGTCGGCTAGTGTTATCGTTATTGTTATTTTTATTATCACAGTTTATTACTATGATGATTATTTAATGTAAAAGAAAAAAAAGAATGTACGCGGGTGCACAAAAATAATCGCGCCTCTGTCTTTGCTGTCTCAATTTGGTGTCCTCGGTACCGTGGTCACGAAGCTGGTCACAAAGTAGGATTAGATGAAAACAAAGATGCGTATATATTCATATAATATATGTTACGATAAAGAGAAATATATGATATATATACTGGCATCCGAGTTAAATTGTCGCTCGTGTCGCACAAATATAATTACACGGGCAATTGCCTGAAAGAATATATGTCTGATTGTTATATTTGTCTGATTGTTATTTGTCTGACTGTTGTGTAAAGTGTCTCAATTAATAAAGCAAAAGCAGAAATAATCGTGTGCTCGTTCAGTTCTCTGTATCGCCTACGCGATATTCTCCATTAATTTCGTATATTAATTTGCGAATAAATTAATTTGCATGAAAAAATAACTTGCATTTGAAGCAATTTCTACGACTAAATACCTTCCTGGTATATTCTTGCATTTAGAAAAAAAGTGAAATTATAGGGAAGTAGACCATTTAATTTTTTCCTTTACTACTATTTTTCTATCTTTAGTTAAACAAGAATTACAGCCAGTCCCAATTACATGACTCACAATGTAGTTCTTGTTTAATGTAAGTTAATTTAATATATTTTAATATTATATTAAATTTATTTATATATATATATAATACGCATAATTATTATATAAAATAGAAAAAAAATATTTTTTTATATTATATACATATTTGTTTGGTTGTTTATTTCTTCGATGTAAGAGAATAATAATAGAATATATATATATATTTATTTATTTATTCATTAATATATATAATACGTATATATATTTTTTATATAATACGTAGGCGCGAATATCTCTTGCACTTACAGCAATGACGTTACGCGTTGGTTCTCCACTCGCTGCGGCCATTTCGAAACGTTTATGTGCGCAACGTTCGCAATATCTCATACCTGTCTATATATAATTATATATTTAATTTATATATACACACAGCGTCATTGTTTCCATATACGTATACATATATGTATGTATATATATATATGTATATGTATATGTATACATATATATCAATATAACATTGTCAACCAATAACTTATACTTCGCTTCAAGCTACATGTGTGGCAGGCGCCATCATTTAAATAACATGCATACACGCGTGCATCGTTCTTATAATAATTAATCACTCTCTCTCCCCTCTCCTCTTCTTTCTTGTCTTCCCCCTTTCTCACTCATACACACACACACACACACACACACACACAAAACACAAAAACGCAACAAGAACATTCAAAACATCTAAAGGATGTCTGAAATGTTAAGATGTCCTTTGAGATTTAACTTCTCAGACATTCAGGCAAGAGTCCATAGGGAAACGTCCAAGAGATGCCTGAAAATTTAAAAACTTTTCTTCTTTTAGAATTTAAATTTTCAGACGTTCTTTAGGAACCCATCAAGACTTATGTTGCCTATCTGGCCGAAAAGTAAAGCAATAAATTATTTACAGACGTCCCTTAGATATCTTTTAAACCTCACGTTCTCCTGGCACTCCCACGCACACGCAAGCGTCATGTATACCGTATAATAACATGAAACATAGTCTCACTCGGTTTAAACGGCTCTCGAAGACTAAAGACTTCCAAAGTGCATCACAGTCTGTCTCTGCACACGTCGAGGTTCCGCCAAACTTTTCAAATGGAAACGATAACGTAACAAAACAACCATCTCCATCGCGCTTTCGTCGCGATAAAACAGCGCTTCTCTACGACGTTCCTGAGAATATTCGAAAATATTTGCATTTTTTTTTTATAAAACCCAACAGTTCTTCAAATTCTTTAATTATACACGAGTTCGTATATTCCAAAATTAATTCTGTTAAAATTATAACTTAAATATACAATAAATTATCACTTGTCCAACGCGAATATTAAACTAAAAATGCATTCCGTTACTTCTTTTTTTATCGATTCTTATTTGTGAAACGTTTAAATAAATGTATATATTAAATGTATTAAATGTATATATACGTAAGTACATATTTGTAAAAAAAAAACGTAAAATTAATAAGGTTGCCGTCCTCCCATAGATTAATATAGGGGACGCGATTGCATTCTGACAAGAGGCCACTGAACACTGGAGATACTTGCGCGAAATTTATTATCAGTTTATAATGGAACGTGTCTCATATATTTACACGAGCGAATTTCGTCTCTTGGATTGATTGAAAAAACTAACTGAAGTAGGTATATACTGGACGCAATTTCATTTCTTTTTCTTGACAAATGCGGAACGCGTCAATCACGCGGATACACAATGGATACGTTCTCATTTATTCTGTTTTTATTTCTAATTTATCGATTAACTTTATATGAAGAAAAGTGACGGTATATCGAGAAGATTATATGGAGAATGAAGATCAGTCGATTCGTTTACATTTGTCGTACACCAATTTGTCATTTGAGATCTGTACGTTAAGGCTATGCGAAAAAATACGTTATTCAGTGAATTAAACATTCGTAAAATCGGTTGCAATAATCTCAAAATAATTGATTCTAAAACCAATGCTACAAAGAACCATTCAGCAAAGAAAACTAATTTCAGCAAAGAAATCGGTGAGCGCCAGTGATTCTTTGATATGATTATTTCTTGTGTTTAGTGAATACAACATTTGATGAGTAAATAAATAACTTTGCGCACCAACAAACACGTAGGCTCTTAATTAGCTTTTTTATCCCCCTTTAGTTGATTTATTCTCAGAGCACTACATATTTTTAAGTTATATTCTTGTTTTTAGTTCTTTATTGGATCTAAGTGTAGGAATCAACCATATTAAAAAAGAATCACTGAGCGTTTATTACTGATCAGTTTTATCTGCTGCATGCAGCTAATATCCATTTATTCCACGTTTTTTATGATATTTTTCTATTTTTTCTAAATCTAAAAATCAATCGGAGTCAGCGTTTATAAAAAAAATATACAATATATAATATTTGATATCGCGTGTGTTAAGAAAAAGGCTCGATCATTGGACTTGCGACTATAGATCGTTTAACTACATATAATCGTCTGTTATAATTTTTAAGAGACACATCATTAAACGTATTATTACAAATCTTAATAAATTGGTTTTAAAAAAATGATCTTCTGGCGGTTATACCTTACGACTTCGAGTTTCAGAAAATAGTGATGGTCAAAGTTTTTCAGATGTCATCATTCAGTTTCTTAAAATGCAAATGTTTCAACAAAACTCCTTCTCGTACCTGAATTATCTTCATTAAATAATCGGTATAGATTCCTTTATTGTGATTTATTATAAATTCACAATAAAGGTCGAAAATGGTCACTGTATCGTCGTGTGTTCCAAATCTGTATATATAGGAATTAATATAAATATTAACAGGTAAATGTGCTTACAATCAGTCAAACGTTAACTCACGCTCGGAAGATTGCATTTTTTTGGTCGCTTCGTAGATAATTGCGTAATTTCTTAATCACTCTCTTCAGTTGATATTAACTGATATGCCGGAGGGATAAAACACTGTCGATCGGAATTATAACGGTGTATACGGAATAATTGCTTGAACATTAAATATCGCCGTATATATATTTCCGTACTCTCGCTCTCACGCGTTTATACTTCCGTACTGCAAAAATCCTTTATCAAAAAACGTGGCGGCAGTCGCTCGTAAAAAAGGCAACAATGATAACGGTCGCAATAGAAATGGAAAAGTCCTCGGCAACTTTCCTTGCGGTTAATAACTCTTCTCTAATGGCAGTTATTTATCACTCATCTCCCTAAATCGGCTAAATTCGCGGAGACTAAGCCTAGTCTTTGACGTTTTTTCTCTCGAGATCTAAGCTAATCCAATAAATAGTGGAAGAAATAAGTATCTCTAAGCTCTAGTGCCGTCTTTACACGACGATTCATCATCGCCTCGATAGGCCCGGCCGAAAAAAAACTAATTAATTTAAAACTTCGTCCCATATATTCGTATTCCTATCTATATCGCATTTATTGCTGAATGCAGCTTCTCCGAACGAGACAAAAGTCTAAATGACATTTCAAGGAAGGATTGTATTCCGCATGTCTTCGTGACGCCTCTTATTAAACGCTCCGTTGCTCAGATCTAATATACGAGGATCATATTGAAGCTCAGATAGCCGCAGTTAGCATTAAATGTGTAACGCGTTTAAATATAAATTGTCTTATCGCCACAACCTGGTACTAAACATCATCCTACGTTTTAATCTCGGAGTAAATTACTAAGATAGCTACATAGAGGGAACGCCTCATCGTGATGGATATGGACGAAGCGCAATTTGAAAATTAAAATTTACTGTATATATGCATATTTCTTATAAAATAGACACTGGCCGCTACATGGCGTAGTGTGCGTAATCTTGAATTTATGGCACTTGGTAATGGAACGTGCGGTGACTAACAATAAAAACTCGATAAGTAGCAGGTTGAAAGGAAACTTCGCTTTTAAGTTTAACGAGGAGATTACCTAGCCATTCTAACTAGCTTGCGATTGTATTACCGGAGCACCTCTATGTAACATCGAAGCGGGCCGAGATTTTCGTCCGCCGGCCGCAGACGTCGATAGGCTCGTAGGCGGTTGCTGATGCTGTTGTTGCTGCTGCTGCTGTTGCTGTTGGGCGGCCAACTGTTGAGCCATTGTCGAGTCTCGCCTCGGAATTTCCGGCGGTGACTGAAGCACTTCCATATACTCACGGATTAGATTCGCTATCTGATGAGCCTGAAGAATAAAACAATCAATATGAATTTGAATATTAAATTAGACTGTGTATGTGTATATATATATATATACATATATATATACAGGATGGTCCACGTAAAGTTGTTACAAACTAATAACTCTAAAAATATTTCTCCTATCAAAAAGTTGTTTATGACAAAGTTTCATATATTCAAGGGATTTTTCTAACTATGTAAACAAAAATCCACTCCCACACTCCCTTGAAGGGGAACAGGGAGAGGGGTTAACATCAATGTTTCAAATGGAACCCTCTATAAAATGTTATATATTTGAATTCTACAGCAAATACCGAAAAAACAAAATTTTCATCCATGTCATTTAACTTAAGAACTTTCGGAAGCTGATTATGAGCGTCATTTAATATTTTGCGAGTGAATGCGTAATACCATAGAAAATGATTTATTTTTGCAAAATATTCTTTTTTTTATGAAGCACAATTTATCAATACTAGGCATATTAATAAACACAATATGCACTATTGGTCACATGAGAATCCTAAATAGATGCGTACAGTTGCTTTACAATATCGTTGATCACTAAATATATGATATGGAATAATTGGCGATTTTGTAATTGAACCATACTTTTTTGATGATATTGTTAATATTGAATCCTATTGTGATCTATTGAACTATCATCTTCCTCTACTTCTAGAAGAATTACCACTTAACGTGAAATGTGGTTTCAACAAAATGGTGCCCCATAATATTTTCATAAAAAATTTTATCTGTTTAATATTTTAATTTTAATATTTTTTATTTTGCAAGTATTATTTTGCAAGTATTAAACTACTATATTTTTAGTAACTTTTTTAGTAAAAGTGTTATTTAAGAACTTTCTTTTTTAATTAAATGTCGATACTTTGTGGTTATAGCAATTTCTGTTTTATTTTATCTAATATTTTTATTTAGCTTGAATAAAAATGCCTAAAAAATTAAAAAATTTTCAATAATTTTTTTCCAAAGTTTGAGTAGACATACTGAATGATGACATTTCACTTGAATCACATTACCTGCGACGTAGTGAGGATGACCTTGCTCTGCTTCTTATCCGTACCAGTAATAATCATCAAACAATTAACGGCAGGCGTATAGCTTAAAATACTGCTATATTCGTAAGTACACAACGCGTTTCTGGAACGGTGTTCTAAGAGATGAAGACCCTGCTGATCGACGGCCAGCCAAAGAACGCGAGGCCAATTCGAAGTAAACGATTGCATCACGTCGAAGATTGTCGCGCGGTGCAACGGCCACGACTGGATCAGATTTAAGAAAGCCTTTTTCGCCTCCGGCGGTGTCATTCCACGCAGGGATTGATGATGCTGGCGCACACCATCTACACACAGGCACGGCACCAGTCTCGATGATAGGCAGTGACTCGATATTGTTCGATAATCTGGTTCCGATATGGTCTCCTGACAATCGCCCAATTCTAACTGCGCTTGCAAAGCCGACAGCATCATCTGAAAGTGATATCAGTCTCGTGAAATTCTCTTTGAGCAACTGATAATAACACAAAGAAAACATAAATAATAGTCATGCAATACAGAATATTCAATAATTATATATATATAAAATTTATACTAAATGAAATTCACAAAATAATATAAAATAAAAAAAAGGAAATTAAACAAATAGTATCTTATAACTTACTGATTTTTTGATAACTTCATCTTGATTATTTCGAATGTAAAACAATTAATGAATTTTAAATTATATGTGTAAAAAAATCAAATAATTCTCCATTTGAAATAGTTCTATTTAAAATCAAATTATTAAAAGATATGAAAGTTAAGCGCAGAGAAATTGCTTCAACAAGGTTACTTACAGCTTCTTTTTCAGTGATAGGAAACCGATCGGCTCGCAAATCGTGCAGCACTTGGTGATACAATAACTCCTTTTCAACAGGATCGTCTAAATTCATGTATTGATCCAAGAATAAATGTTTCTTGAATAAGAAAAAGTGATGCGCATGCTTGCGTTGATGTTGACCCTGCTGCGACGTCCTGTATCGTTCCCACTTGGACATAACGTCAGCTATCTTCTCCTCGGGAATCAATGATCGTTCGGTCGGTCCCAACACCTCATAAATCGCATAACCTGGCAAAGAATAAAAAAATAACGATAAAAATCAATCAAACAAAATTAAACTTTAAGACAAATTGAAATGAATTAAATGTAGACTTGTAATATTTCCAAATTTTGCAATTGAAGATATGTCAGAATTTAATTAGAATACATTATACTGTAATTCTAACAGCCAGAAATCGATAAAAAAAGAAATTAGGATAGTGATATAAAATAATATAGAAAAATAAAAATATCGAGCATACCCATAGCAGTCTCCTCAAGTCCTATCTTCGTCTTTATAATCTCCATGACGTCCCTAGCGGTCGCAGATGGATGAAATTCAACGGCATGATATTGACCGTCCATGAAATGGAATCTGGCATAGATCGGCCGACGATTGATAGTGCACATAATCTCCTCGCGACTCGGCGGCCACTGCCGCCTGCGAGTGCCCTGAGTCTTGTAAAGGCACTTTTCTGCAAACCTCGCGTACTTACCCTCCTCGGTAACGTAATCGCTGGCGCATCGTTTCAGGTGTGCTATCAAGTACTTGCGTATGGTTTTTTGAGGTGGCAGGATCACGGAACACGCGAGCGAGAGCAATGCCCAGTGTCGCAGATTGACACGATTATTGGGATCTGGATGATCAGTGGTTTGCTTGATCAACTGGAGGTACAATTCACCCAGTAGGTTTTCTTTTCGTATGCACCGTTCCATTACGGTTTGTATAAGATTCACGTGCTCATCCTCAACCCTACGTACTGTGTCTCCGTTTTGGCCAAGTCCCGCGTATGTCAAAATTAACTGGAAGATATTCAGAGACACTTGTTCTGAAACCCTTGTAAGTTTCGCCGTGATCGGCACTTCCATGTTCCTGCCTGAGCTTTTCTATCCGATGCTTAGATAATCTTCTAAGTGTATTCCGAAGAAAACCACCACCGGAATCCTGCGGTTTTCTGAGAATCTCCGAGTCGACTAGAGTTCGCCGACAGTTGATCAGATTGTGATAAAGTCGGATACGATCTTCGTTAGTGATACACTTGAGTTTCTTCGTGGGTACCTCATTCTCTGTGATCCAACCCGCCAGTGCCGAACAGTAACTGACAATCAGACTGCCAATCTCGTTCTTTTGCGGCGTCTCAAAAACGAAACACTTGTGCGAACTATCGGGATTGTGTCGTAGCAACGAGAGCGTGATGAACGAGTCGCTCGGGTCCAGCATGATACTTTCGACGTCCTGATAACGATACTCGGACAGAACGAATTTGTCATCCGGCTTGATTAGCATCAGACCGTCACAGTTGATGCCGAGAATCAACTGGTTACCATAAGACCAGTATCCGCGGTAAGTTACATTAAACATCGTTGTGCCATAAAGCGGATATTGCATCACGCAGGATAGATACAGGACTTTGGCAGCGAGCTCTTTGCGTCCGGCACCATATTGCCGGTGTGCTTGCGCTATAATCGGCACCCAAACGTCGTCGCCACGAGCCCGACTGATTCTGTAGGGCAGGAAGCTATCCACTTCGCTGTAATAATCTAGTCTATCATTATCCTTGGGATCGCCGAGGGATACTTGCGCTTGCAATCCTGCCAATTGCAATGCCACTTTCTCGGACACCGGAAAATCATCACACTAAAAATAAATAAATAAGAATAGCTAAGAATAAAAGCTTACATATAGAATAAGATGATACAATTTTGAACATAGTATATACAATTCTGAATAAAATAAAATTTGGATTCAATATTTTCAAAATTCCAGTTTAATAACCCTCTCATTGTATAGAAGGTACTGAAAGAAACCAAATCAAGCTTGAAATTGGATTTAAATCTTATTTTGTTCAGAATTATACCACCTTACTCTAAAAATAAAAACTTGTAGAGCAATCTATTTGTTATGATGAAACATCGTACCTTTACGACGTTGTAGACCGCTTGCGCGTATAGCATATTAACTTCCACGGGGTCCTGCGAGATCTCCCTTGGATTGCGGAATAATCTTCGTTTAAAGACGAAACGATTGTCGCCGCTGCCCAAAGTAGTATTGTTACCGCGTCGCAGTGTCGAAAACGCTGATTGTGCCGTATTCAATTTGCATTGTTTCCTGCAGTTATAGATGTTATTGTATAATAATTCTACATGAATATAATTACGTTCACACTTACATTTCCCATGCAGCAATCACGTCATACAGGTAATCGTGAGCTCGCACGTGCTCCTCTCCATCCGGTCTGCTTTGATAAATGGCCCAACCTTCTAACGACCGAAGACCCAACTTTTCTCCTAGTTTGGCGACGGCATCAGCGGCTGTATCAATCGGATGCACATCGATCGCCTTCGTTCTTCCGTCCAAGAAAAAGAACCTGCATACTATAGTGCCCAATCGTTTCATGGCAGCGATTTCCACCGTGGATGGTGGATGTTGCCTGCAAGATACCTTGGTGTTCTTGCAATTATCTACGCACCACTGCACGTACTGCCTCAGCTTGCCCTCGAGAGCAAGATTCTTTTTCAGGAAAGAGACAAAGTACTTGTAAAGCAGCTTGCTCGGTTGGAAGGCAACGATCGCTAAGCACAATAGCAACCACACGCGTTCCGACCACTCGGCGTTGGGATTATTCGTCGCTTGACGCATACATTGTACAAAGATTTCGTCTCTTAATTCTTCCCGCTCAATCCCATAAGCGATGATACTCTGAATCGTGACTATCTCTTGGTCCAATTTCATTTCACCGCGAATATACTTACACAAGTCCTGCGAAAAAGAATAATATAATATGATTATGTATAATTATAACATTTATAACACAAAAAAACTTTAAACGGAAAGAAAAGAATTTTCTATAGTTTTTTTATAATGCTTTATAATTAAATTTAAATGCAATTCCAGTCTCGAAGATGTTCTATCAACTTTATGGTCATGCGATTGCCGCAGATCATTGCCTTCAAATTATTGATGAATTTACTTAGAAGTTACAAAAAATAATTATTCTTTTCTTTGAGTTTTCTGCAAGCGTTATAATTAATGCAGGCGTACCCTGAATACGGAACACGCAACATTCACATTGTCGGGATCGTACATATGAATATGCGAGTTCGGAATGCTGGATCCTTTGTAGTACGTGACCATCTCGTACTTCGGAATGAACTCGATACTTTTCCCGCGCGACTTCCTCGTTAACGTAGCCATTATGGTACCCTCCGGCGAACGTTCATGGCTGTTGAAATAGTTCTGCGCAAACTCTACAATATCGTGGTAGGTCACCTCGTTCTCCTGTTCCTTCTTATCTTCGAGCTCTTGCAGCTTCCGCTCCACGCGGGTCTTGCGCCGCTGCTCACGTTCCACCGGCAGTTGCTGCACCGTCTGCGATTGCGGCTGCGGCTGATCGTGGCCATTCTGTTGCGCCTGAGGTATCGTCTGATGATGATGGTGATGGTGAGCCGGATGATGATGGCCGGAATTTCTGGACTCTGGCCTGGATGGCGGACTAGCGGCGATTTCTTTGGTTATCTTGCCACTGGGTGGAGGCGGTGGTGGTGATCCGCAAGTCTCACCGTTCATCATTTGGCCCGGACTGCCGCCGTTGTGAATTGGACTCTCAGAATCATTCGCTTCTCGCGGTAGCACTGACTCGTAGATTGGCTCGCCGTTGTCATCTGATGACTCGCCATTCACAGCTAAAGGCGGCGCCGGAGGTGGTGGTGGCGGTGGTGGTTCCGTGGGTTCCGGAAGACTCGGTTGACCAAGTTTACTGCTGCTCAAGTTATTCGAGCACGGCATCCGCTGTTGCTGCTGCGGAGACTGTACTTCCTGTCCATTCATGGGAGAAGCGACCTTCGACTCAGCCTTGGCATTCAATTCCATCTCTTGTTGAATAACGTTTTCTAATTCTACGTCAAGGTCCTCCACCAATTCGTCCATCTGTTCCCCGATTTCCTCGATAATCTGATTGCTTTTAGTTGATTGTACGTCAGATAGGAAGGAAAACAGATTGTCAAGATCCACCGATTGCAAATCCGTGGCAGCTATCTTCGAGTTCATTTGCTCGGCCATCTGCGACAGCGCATCGATTTCTTCTTGCACTTTCCTGCAAAATTGAAAAGAAAATTGTATTGCCGTTACCGAATGATGTTTTTTTTCCAGGAGTAGTAGTACAGATGCTGGTGTTACGAGCAAAGTAAATTTCGTGTAACGTTATCGTGTAACGACGATCACAACGAGGCATTCGATGCAGTAAGTCATAAAATGATGCCTTGGAAAAATAAACAGATAGCGAATTCGACATACTCGGTGCACACTCATGCATATTAAAATCGTCGTACATAAATTGACGCAAAGATATTTAATGTAAATATAAAAACAGGTTAAAAACCGTAAAATCCTTAATACATTTTAATGTGTTGTCAAGTAAAATATATGTTCTATAATTCGAAATATTTGCGTTTTACTTTTACATTCAGATTAAATCAATCTACAACGATTTTAACATATATTAGTGCATTTAATCGAATTTGCTAAGAGATACAAATCATGAATAAATTTTAGCTACATACAGCTAATCTATAATATTTATAATATGCTAACTACGGTATAATTTTACGTTATTTTTTTAAATGTTCAAAGATTATATTTTATTTAAATTTTTATTATTGTAATATTTATATCTTAAAGTCGCGTGCTTTACGCTGTTCTTCTATCCAACTCATTAATTATGAACGTGTGATTTTCTATGATGTAGCGTTTAATTATCACAATCGGTCTTTAGTATAAAACCATGCGTATATCAAACGAAGAAGCGATAAGGCTCGCGTTTGAGATACACGCAATGATATTTGGCATGCAACGAGTGCATGCCGTCATATACACGTCACACGATCTCATCCATCGTCGGACTTACCCAGATTCCATCTCGGTAATACCATCGTACTGCGTGCTATAAAAGGAACACAAACGGAAACGATTAACGCATACAATTGATTGGCACGCATAATTAATCGGTTCCATTGTTATCAGTTATCTTACACAAGAATTACCATCGTCGCAAGCAAGGTTCATGGGAATTAAGAAATTCAAACGGAGTTGATCTCTCGTACCTTTGGCTCTCTTCCAACGCCTTCTTATCCTCCATCATCCTTCGTTCCTCCTCCAACCGCTCCCTCTTTCTCATCTCCTCGTCGACTCGTCGCATTTCTCGCAAAGCTGTGGCTACTTCCCTCGCAAAGACACCTCGCAAATGACTCTGAATCACTATGGCTGCCCTGCGTTTTCTGATGAACATTATTCGTGACTTCCAACCGCGATACGCATGTTGCATCTTCAGTGTTGCCTCCCTTATACGTTTATACTCTGTAGGAACAGAGAATAACATTTCTAAATATAATACGATTTTTAAACAAATAAAAATCTATTAATTATTCCAAATAAATTAAAAAAGTATAACATAGTTTCCTAGAAAAAATTGAATGTCATATCTCTCTCTCTCTCTCTCTCTCTAATTTACTCAAAATAAGAAATCGCTTTTTATTTATTTGAAAATTATATTATATTTATATCTTGAAATCTGAAAAATGACCTTCAGAAAATTTTTTTCTTATTATAATATTGTTTTTTCAAAACAAACAATTTTTCCCTTTAATATTTTACTATGTTGTTAAAAACAACAGATATTTTAAATTATTATAGCATAAGTTATAGGAAACATATATAAAGGTAGGAAACATAAATCATACCTCGTCGTTTGATGTATCCTCGCCAAATCTTCTGTATCACAATGGCGTTCCTCGTTATTACCTGGTTTCTGGAATCCTCCAGAGGCTCGTGCACGTAGCTCCGTAAAAACACCTTCGTCCGGCCAATTTGCCATTCAGTTTGCGGTATACCTTGTTTACTAATCAGACATTTGACCGCCTCCTTCTCGTTACACGAAAGTGAGGATCGGCTTTTATCCAGACAACGATATCTCGCAACGAAATCGTGGAATGACATGTGTATTGGGAACCCCTCCTTGCGTATGCGTATAATATCGAGCATACCGAGATATTTGAGTTGGTCCATAACGAGCTTCTCATCGTAGTGATTGGCCATCTTCTCCATATTCGGTTTGATACAGCGCGCGTACCACGGAGTCGTTCCCTGTAAAACATCTACTAAGGCCTGCAACTGGTGCCGAAATGAGTCGCAGAGGGTCGGCTTGCCCTTGGACGTTCCTCGCGACATCGTAGTGGTTGTACCGCCGGTTGCACGCGCGACAGTACATCCCAATAGATCCTGATAAACGCTGATCTCCTGTACAAACTCATTTGTACTCCTGGACATGAAGTCGAAAAACACGTCCTGCTGTACGTCGCGATTCTTGTCGACGAAACCTTCGACGGTATACGTCACGCAGCCAGCGTAATGCTTGACCCCAAATTCCTTTTCCCATTTCCGTCGGTCATCTCCCTTTACGTAGCACGGATGGTTCTCAAATTCAGCGTGCAGGTTTGTCAGATAAGCTAGATCCGAGCCTTTCGGCATATGGCACTGCTCGGTGAGTAACTTCAGAACACATCGCGGAGGCTTCTCAATTAGCTCCAGGCACATGGTGTTGTCAGTGAAAGTGATGTGGGAATACTGGATCTCTTCTTGATGATACTAAACACATATTTATTTGATATTTATATGTTTATATATTACGGTGAATTAACTTATTGGCAACAAAACAAAAAATGTACGAAAGTGAGGGATAAAATAAAGTTTTAAAGCTCAAATTAGAGTAAACTGTTCAGAAAATTTAAAATAAAAATGTTCGAGCATTAAATTCTCAAACAATTCAAACTAGGACATTAAGGAAAGTTTGAATGAAAATTGTGAAAAATAAAAAAATAAGCCACTTTTATTTGTTTCGTTTTACCTAAAGTTAGATGTAACAAATCGAATAATTTGAGACCTTCGAATATACCTTTAAACGTCCCCTAAATAGATCAATATTAATGTACAATATTTGATATTGCACAATATTTTTTATCATCTGAAGATTACATTGACTCTAGACTTTGTTTTGAATTATTTAAAAGGGGTATCAATAGTATTATACAAAATAATTGTACAATATATTGAGCGTTTAGAGGCCGCTTTAAGCTCTAACAATTTAAGATTTAAAAAACTTGCAACGCACGAATTGTTTGATCATATACAAATTCTGAGCACTGGAATAAACTTACGAGTTCCTGCTCCAATGCAAAGACGTAGTGATTGAAAAACTTGTGCAGCTTCTCGTTCGTGTAGTTGATGCAGAGTTGCTCAAAGCTGTTCAGCGTAAAATTCTCGAATCCGAAGATATCGAGAACCCCGAGGAACCGCGAGATATCCTGACCTGGGTTCGTGCAGTTGTTGATGTGGTTGATAAGCCAAGCAAAAGTGCGAGAGTAGAGTGCTTTTGCCATCGCGTGCCTATTCTCCCTGGCCTCTTGGACCTTCAGTGGAATCTCCGTGATATTACCGCGAACGTTTATCTGTCGTATCAGCACCACCTTGGTGAGATCCTCCACCTGAAGACCCAACAGCGGCGCAACCGTGTCGACTATATTCCCGTCCTCCTTCGATAATTCGCATCTCTCGCCGTCGACGTCCTCGAAACTCAAATTTCCGAGCCACAGGATGGCCGATAGAACTCGGAAGATGCCTTCGCACATTTCCGGCGCGATCTGCACGAAGATGGATAATAATTATTTGACAATAATAGGAGTGCAAAATTCTCTTCATCGGCAGAGAAATACCTGGAGCACATTAAAGGCGAGCCTGAGAGAATCGAGTTTCTTAGAGTCGGAAATTCCATCGATCTTCACGCAGCCGGACTGATTGAGATATTTGTAGTGGCTGGCTGGCCTTAGCTTATATTGCTCCGCAAATTCCTTGTCCCTCGTGCCGGCCTCGACCAGCTGGTAGAACACGTGGTAATTGCGCTCCCCGGGGCTCTGAAAGGTGATACGACTCTGCTCCAGCAGGTAGTCTTGGATGATGCATCCCTTGATCATCCACTTGTTGTCGAAACACACCTGCATAAACTTGCCAAAGCGCGAACTGTTGTCGTTCCGTACGGTTTTCGCATTGCCTGTTTTGACGAGAATAAAATTTCTCTCGTTAAACTTCATCGTTCTAATTTGAACATCGAAAGAAATTCAAAAACCACAAATTTGTTATTACCAACTCTAAAACACTATCAATATTGAGTAATTGAAAAAAAGTATTATTATCGATACGCGTAAACTGTATAAGAAATTAGAAAGTAGGTCACTCTTAAATAATGTAACACAAGTTTCTTATACATTTCTCACTTTTAATGACAAAATATTTATAATCGAGATCTTTATAAACACAAATAATCTAAATATTGATTTAAAAGAGAAGAAAAAATAAACACGCTATCAAATTCAATGTTGAAATAACTAAATAAATAGAGTGTGTAGTTCAATTGATGTTTGTCTCCTCATAACATTTAAATAAAATATCATCGTTTTCTGTTATAATTATAAAAATCACCAAGGAGTACAATCGATATATAACGGACAAAATTTTTTAAAGCTTGTCTTCGCTTGCCCTAACTTTTAGTATGGCAGATTGAATTTCTTAATGACCACTGAAGATACAGTTTAGTGCTCAATGACTTCGTTCACTTGTACATAAAAATTACGTAACGATAGCATTCTAAGGTTAAGAATAGTTTAAAAGTTTTACAATATTACTGCGTATTCTTTTATAATACATTTTTAAGAAGAAATATATTTGTTAAAAATATCCCTTGATATATGCAGGATAGGAGGAGATCTTCCCAAGTTCATTTAAATGCGAAACATAGATGAAACTCTGTGACGAAGATAAATGAGAATAAACTAGATTTCATCAAAAAAGAAATCATTATCTCTCTCTCATGCAGGTGAATGAACGACGCTGTCTGATGTGTTTTATTCATAAAATCTTTTTGCCTCGTGACCCACTTCGTTTCCCCTCGTCACTGCATTTAACACCTGAGTTGTTCGTACCTAGATTACGATTAATGAATCGCACTTGTTTACTTCTGAACGCACTATTAGGATCCACTTTATCGTCTCCGTTTATCTTCGCTTCAGTTGGAACGCCGATTCTTTAACAGTCTATTACCGTAATGCGATGTGATTCAATTCTGACGAAGATAAGTTGTTCCTGAAGATACTCAATTCATTTTTAGCCCATCGTTTCTTTTCTGATATCTAACAGTTTTAAACCGAATCTTAAATTCTGACATATTTTCGCAGGTTGCGACTTATACATAGACTCCTCGACCTTGAGATCAATTTTATCAGAATACCGATAACAGTCACAATTATCCAATTTTAAAAACAAATTTTTAAAAATATCCAATTTTATGACACAACATATTTTCAGCATTAGATATCTATAATCTAAGTTTAAGATTAACGTATATTTAATCATATAATTACTATTCTAGTAGGCTCGGACATTTTCTTCAACTATACGTTGTAAAAAATTGTTTGTAACAAATGTTTTTCACAACCTTACATAATTTCAAGTTACATAATACGATTTCTCAAATAAAAATTTACTATATGATCATATCGTTTAGATTGACAAGCTTTAAAAAAAATAAGAAATAAAAAATTTTCACAAAAGATCTTATAACGTTTATCAAATACCAAAGAAAAAATGGTTTTTAAATAAAATTAGTACGAAACTTAATTACAATTTGGATCAAATAGACTCGAATAGACCAAGATTATAAATACTAATCAATCTAATCATGTCATTCAAGTTTTGTTATAGCGATTGAAGAATTATTTCATTATTGAAATTGCTGTTAGATTAATTTAATCTGATTAAACGGCAAAATTCATTCCAGTGATTTGAGCCAAAGCAGAGGATTTCAATTAGTGGATATTTTCTGACAAACTTGTGTAGAGAATGGGATATCCGGAAAATACATAATCACAAAATTTTGCGAGCGCGATTTGGAACCTGGATGTAATTAACGGATAATTACCAAATGCCTCGAGGATGGTGTTGGCCTCCAGAATTTGCTGTTCCACCCACGTATCGACGTTGCTGGTAACCGAGCACAGGTACTGTAGGATGAACTTGGTGGTCTCGGTCTTGCCGGCGCCGCTCTCTCCCGATATCACACAGGACTGGTTGCTCACGGTGTCCTGCAAGGACTTGTATGCCGCCTCCGCCAGGGCGAACACGTGTGGCTCCAAGGCGCCCATCTTCTGGCCGTGGTATCGATTCACGTACTCCTGCGAAAAGACGAGGAAGACGCCCTTTTCGGTGAAACAGGTTCCGGTCGTTAACGAGGTACCGCTCCTCTTTGCTACAACCTCGCGAGAATGGATGGTCTTAAAAGCCTCGATTTGTGAACAGCATTCTTGCCCCAAAAACGAAAAGTGAACTTGGTCTATTGTACTAAAATGGAGAGAGCTTTATGAAGAGCTCACGGACGCAGATAAAAGGCTGACGGAGGCTCCAAAGAAAGTCAGCAAAGCATTGTGTTAATTCTCACATTAGAAGTTTGTAAAATCTTATATTTTTGGTGAAATACAGAATAATTTCATACAGCAAAATATTTTACGTTACATAAAATTCTTTTTAAGAAATATAAGATACAATCTTTCGTAACTATAAAATGTTAACATTTTACGTACATATTCTTTACTTGAGAAATTTATTAAGAATATTTTTTTCAAAATAAATACCATGTTTCATAAACATTGCAGTTGGCTTCATCAGGGCGAAAAGCAATCTGACACTGTTCATAAAACGTTGGCATTTAATTATATATCAAGACATGGAGATAACTCGCAAACCGTGTAGCTTTTTTTAATATTCAATGTTTTTAAATCACATTGTTTACCTAGAAACCTTGTATCAGAGTTCGGCTACGAGCGATTTTGTCAAAAGGTATTTCTCTACGAAAGAGAAAGGTATATAATATATAATTTATTCCTGTGTATACATTATCTCATTCTAACTTATACTGTTTCACTCTACAATCTTAATTAAAATTATTCATAGTTTGGTATTTATAGACCAGTACTCGTCGATTCTTATTTTAAGATCATTTTAAGTAATGTGTCTTAAGATGCTAATATCGCTCCGTGATTGGCTTATAATATTTTAACACGCTCTTAAATATAAAATCCGATTATAAATATTGGCCCATATTCAGAACGCGCTTTTATCGATAAAAGCGCGCTTTTATCTCTGAAATTCTATAATATGCGTGACGTACAGTATAGTATATGTTAGCGCACTAACATCGTTGTAAGCGCGTTCTGAATACGGGCCATTGGCTATAAGAGTGAAACAGTTTAAGTTAAAGTGAGAGTATATTACAGGGAGAAATTATGTATATCTTTCTCTCTCGTAGGATTTTGACAAACAGTGATATCTATGTGACATAACATAAAAGTATAAAAGGGAAGAATTTTTTTTCATATGTTGCCTTTAGCATGAGTGAAGAGAATATAGCCACCATCAAGACCTTCGTGCGTGATAACACCGCGATAACCCTAGATAATCCGACCGGAGGTTTGAAAATGTGAGCACGAATGTACCGCATCAACCCCGGTAACCCGATTAATCAGCGACGACACCCGATAGGCGCGTGCACCGCCGACGATGACCGAGTTCCACCGTGGCCCTCTTCGTTCAGCCTTCTCCCCCGGGACGCGGATATATACACATGCACACAAGCTCTGCAAAACGCCGCTCTCCGCCTGAGTCGTCGCTCTCGGCCGTTAGTCTCGCAGCCGAAGTAGTGCAACCCAGTTTCGCGTCGGGCCGCCCGCGCCGCCGAGCATCAGCCAGCGAGAATGCGCCTCGACGCCCGTTACAAATGGATGAAATGCACTCGGCTGGAATTGCCGCCGTGTGATAACAGGAAAATACATAGTACCGTGACAAAACGACCTACCAAACTACTCGATGACAAGAAGACTAGTTTTAGTACAAATCGAGAAAGACGCGATTTAGTAAATTATTTCTAGCTCCGTAGAAGTAATATTACAATTTTTATTAACTATGGTAATTCCTCGCTTCATTTCTTTAAAAAATCAATCTTGAGAGCTGATAACATTATGAAGATCTTAAGTTATCATCTTCACACGATAAAAAAACAAATATACAACATATATTGAAGAAAGTACACTATAAATTCTTAATTAAATCTTCTGGAAGGATTTAATTTTATTGTATTTACTTTTTTATTTTATGTACTTTTAAAAGTGGAAATATTATTAGATTAATGAGACGCGCCGTGTTTCAATTCATGATAAACGTCTACTAAATTAAAATCAAGACTAGGTTAGCATCTAAGTAATACCTAATTCCAAAAAACAAATATATTACATAAATTGTTATCTTAATAAATGCATAATTACAAACATCCAAATTCAATTCAAATATATTTTTAGAGTTCTAATTAGAACTCTTTTTCTTGTCTAATACTTTGTGTAAAAAAATTAATCAAATCGATGTGATTACGTTATTAACATTAAAAGCAAAGTTTAATTTGTGCTATTTACATATTTATATAGTAAATCAATAATTTTAATAAATTCATGTTCTGAATATTAATATTGTTGCAGAACGATTTAAGACGCTTCAATGTAACCTTAAAAAGTTATTTTGGAAGGAAATTATCTCGAGGTACATTTGTAGAGGGTTGCATGGGTTGCCCGAGATAAACCGAGCGTGTCGGAAAGCCTTAAGAAAACAAGCTGGGATATAAAAATAAGTGTGAAAGGACGCCTTCCAAGCGACGCTCCGGAAGTTTCGACACTTCTTGCTTCTTTTTGAAAAAAATCGACTGTATCCATATATAAATATATGTCGCATTATGTAATACTACGCTGTTCAACATTGTATCTTCACAGTCCTCTGAACTGCTTAATGTTGAAAGTTTTGAACTTTATAATTGGCTTCTAGAGTTCCAGAGTATTTAAACATATAAATAAATAATTTTAATATTTGCAAATAGATACTATTGTTTAGTATTTTTATATCCAATATTTATTTAAAATGTCTCACAGATATTTCGTATTTTTTACACCAAAATACCTGCTCTTATTTTTACTTTAAATTTTCATATTCGTCAGCTGTGCTAATTATCGTTATTTATACATAATTTAAACGTACTAAAATAATGTCAAATACATATATCCGTAATTAGATTTTAGAACTGAATATATAAAATGCTATAATTACAATTTTGTCATTTACAACTAATTTTTCCTGTTCCTGTGGCAATACCATAATAAATAACGAAACAATAACAAAGCAATTTTTTAAATAGTAATACGTAACTAATATCTACATTCAGAATTGTGAATCATTTGCATTATTTCATTTAAATGGAATTAAATAGCGTAAAGTATATATATATAATAAGATCAAATAAAGTCATCTTATTCGCGATTAATTGCATCTGTTAAATATCTTGAATGAAAATATCAATTTTTATCTCGAAAGTGATCCACAGCCAATTTCCATTGCTAAAATCAGTGTCGTTTTTTTTTTAATTAGTTTAAGCTTCCCGCTGTTACATAGCGTCATCAACACCGGTGGTGTTGCAAAGGGATGTCGATTCCTCGTTCCATTTCGTTAGTGGGTCACGTCCATCGATCAGTATCGTTTGTGAGGGAATTGAACACGTGTCATCGAGCTCCGATAGAAACTCGCACGATGATTTTTCATCCCGCTTTCGTTACACAAATTGTACTACGGCGAGCGTTAAACTCGGGACGAAATATTCATGGACGATTAATTAACATCAATTTCCATTTATCCCAGTATATAGGATCGGAGGGACTGTTTGTGATCTCCCTTTACGAAGAAATGTTTGCAATAGACGGGTATTCCGAGATCCGAGTCTGGGGATCGAAAACGAATCGACCTATTTGTGATATGTTAACCCCCTCGATTACCGCAAGTGCTGATTGCTTATTAAACCATCACCGTGATATTCGGAACGTCCAATCGATTGGTCCAAATCGAATTACGGTTATCCGATATTGAGTAATTTCGTAAAAAAATTGTCAATCTTCCCCTTGCGTTTATTACTATTTGTACATCGCAAAGAATAAAATATCGCAAATAATTTTCAATCTTGATAAAAAAAAGGAAAAGATGTATTTGTATAGAATCTTGTATAAAATGATTATTATCTAGTAAATAAATAATAATTCGTGTAATCGTATTCCAATAGTAAAATAATTGATAAGAGCCGATAAAAAGCTTCATACAAGTCTTTTGTACTTCCCAGCCATTACCGGCAAATATTTGAACGACTTGATTGTGGGTTTACTGTGGAAGTAGCAATCATTTACCTCGACAACAATCCGAGTATATTTGCTTACTTATCGATCAACAAAACGATAATACATGGCTACTCTATAAATTCCTTGGAATGAAATCTCTCTCTCTAAAGAGTGAAAATTGAGCCAGTCTTGAAAAAGAGTGGCTCAATTTTCAATTCTTTAAGAGTGTGAGATTTCACTCTTCACAGAGTTAGATTTATTCTTCAAAAAGACACGTGTCAGATGAATGTAAAGGTGCGATGTCAAAATCGAATTATTCTTAGCTTAAAAGTGCACAAAAAATGAACAGCGGATTAATAAGCAAATTAAAAAATTGAATTAGTTAATTAAGGCTGCTATTTCTTCGCTACTCTTTTATATAAAAAGAGTGTTTTGGTCATTTCTCGGTTATTTTTGTAAATATCTAAAGACAAAGATCAATCAAAATAATCTAATACATATTTAACATTTTAAAACACTATATGTCGCTCATTTGCTCAAAAATCAAAAACACAATTAAAAAATTGTTATTATTTTAGTTGCTTGCAAAAAGAGCGGAAATATAAAGACAAAAAGATACAAAATATACTTTTATTTCTTTATAATCAGTTATTACACCAAAATTACATTTTAAATATTAAAAAATTTTAATAATGATGAAAATTTAATATATTCAAACTTATTTTCTGGAAAACTTTTGTTTTTTATTTTAATTGTGTCGTTATTATAACAAATGAGCGATGTATAACCTCGTTATTTCACAATAATTAATTATTGTGAATAATTGTATAATAATTGTGAATATATGTATAATGATTAATAATTACAGCATATTTCTACATCAATTTTCTTCGTTTGTCGATAATTTTAAGAAAAGTTTTTCACGTGGCTAGTTTGAAAAATCTATTTTCTCGAAATAGAAGTCAGATTTATCACGAATTTGGCTAACGCGAATGTATCTGTAGTTTCTCGTATGTTGCTACTCGTTGGTAATTCAATCGCGATTCGCACGTGGATCATCGTGATCGCTCTGGCGAGGATCCAGCGAGAGTATTCGGTAGAAATGTGCGGAATTGGCGGGTCTCGAGGCAACCACGCCGAGTCCCGAATCCGATCCGCATGCTTCGGCGCGATCAATAACGCGGGGCGTGCACCACCACGGTGTGCCACCCTCTTCCTTCTAGTCCCGGCAGGAGTCCTCGGTACCCCAGCTGACCTTCGCAAAACACGCATGTTACCGTAGCACGCAAATTTTCACGAGCGTGTGCACGAGGTTAACGCACCGCAGTCACGTGAGTTCACCTCAACAATCAGTTTTTTTTTGTTTCGCACAAATTTGTTCGCGCACGAATTGCGCCATACGCGATAATAGTTGCCAAATTATTGTGTTTCCAAAAAGTAATTTTGAACACTAAAATAAATTGCTAAAATGTGGTAATGAAAACACCGTCGACATCTTCCTGTCGAAATTTTATTGCAACTTGTTAGTTTGAGGGAGGCTCGAAAACTTTTCTGAATGTCACGAGAATGGGGTACCCCCCTCTTATTAAAAAATCCCTTGCTCAAAGGTTGCGTATATTGTAGAGGGAGGAACAGAGAAAATGCAATAAAATGTATAAGCCTTTAGAGAACCAGCTCGTTCCCAAACACGAGACAAAGTAAATTTTATCGCTGCACTCTAACTCCAGCGATTCTCACTGTCCAATTCAATTTACGGTCGCATGCACCGCCGCTCGACGCTTTCCGTGTCGTATAAACGCGCGGCTGCACAGAATAATATTTGAAGAATTCTTTCAAAAATTTGAAGAGGCCTCTATCATTTGTTAGCTTAATATAAAACTTTTCACGTGGCGGAATCTATGGGGCTTTTTTCTCGTTTCGTTGAAAAGAAGTATCGAAACTACTCGCAAACAGCTAGCCTTCGCCTAAGTATATAATATAGTAGAAAAAATTTAATAATAATATAATATGATATTAATAGTGATATAAAAGAATATCAAACATTTTTTTAAGATTTTTAACAGTTTTGCTGTTTTCTTATTAAAAATAGTTGGAGCATTATGTTTCAACTTTACCGAAATGTACAAAGTTTTTTGACTGTTAAATTTAATATAACAAAAGATAAAATTCATAAGCATAAAAAGAATCAATACAGTTTAAATTCAAAGTAAAATTTTTGAAATTTCTCATCTAAAGTTAAAAAAATTTTAAATTAAATGAAATTTATACACCACTTTGGCAAACTAAAAACAAAGCTATCGAAAGAATAGTTTCGATAAAAATGAATGGAAAATTCCCGAGAAATTTCAAATTTACTAAATTTTTTTCAAATAGTAAACTCTAAATTTTGCAGATTTTCAATTTAGCGTTAAATTATTGCGAAATTTATTGCTCTTGCAACAAGATTCTTTTCTTCTCTCTATTCTGGATCTGCTCGGAATTGCTATTCGGTACCCAAAAATAATTCGTCCCTGAGATTCGAGACTTATAACTATTGACGATGAGTCTGCGACATGCAAGGGAGCGAAGCCGTCTCGCATCACGTGCACCCGAAAATAGCTGCAACGGTGGCGGGAAAAGGAAACTGTATTGCTCTATATTATCGGGTATATGCACTTAGCGTTTCATCCCCGATAAATGGTGAACGAGCAGAAATTTATCTCGTTCACCCTCGATCGCAAATATCAGCAAGAGTTCGTCGATAAAGGTCTTTAGGTCTCGCGACACATTTCTCGAATGAATCAAGTCTGTGTATATGAGCATCCCAATTAACGTAATTGTTAACATTATCGTCCTGTCAAGAACTAAGTCGAGCGTGCTATCGCTCAAGTTTCGTTCCATCAGCGTGACCTAGAAAAACCGCCGTCGAAGAAGAGTAACGCTCGCCGTTTCGCGAGTTATCTCGAGACATTATAAGCACGTTGCGGCTTCCGTTTCCTGTTTTCAGACCGAGGGTCAATATGATAAAAGCGTCCTGCTGCGGTGCATTTTGCGGATTTGTGAAGCCATTCTCGGAAAAACTCGTCCGCCACAGGCACGATAATTTTGCACGAGTATGCAAATTGCACGTGCACATGCGACGAGGAAATTCATCGCCGATTAGAGTTCGATGGGAAAGAAACTCGTAAACTCAGCCAACAATATATGTATACTTGAATACATTCTCGTGTATTATTTCTTACAACAGCCTGTCAATTTAAAATCAATTTTTCCATGAAAGTATCAAATTTTCAATGGAAATATCGAAGTTGTAATTTTTGAACTACGAATAATTGAAAAATGAATTTTTCTACAAAAATTTGGCAACCTAAGTTTCAGATTATTATGTTCTTCAATTAATTTTAGATGACCGTTTTAATACGATTTTAAAAGAATTTAAAAAAAAAAGAAACTTTAGAAAACTTAATTAGAAACTTAATTAGAAAATATATGCTATAATAAATGATGACGTTTGAAAAATCTTTATAGTAATTCTATTAAAATAGAAATTTCATTTTTGCGAATAGTTTCTACTATTCCTTTTCTAAGAATTTTGTTCGAATTCATACGTTGTGAAAAATGATCACAAGTCACGTTCTATCCTTTCAAATCCTCCATTAAATTTAACGCCACACGTTGTGCCTACATTTTTCTTTGTTTGATATTTGCAAATGTATAGTTGAATGACCTAAACGTAATTAGTATCTTTATCACAAAGTACCGACAAAGTAATGAAGTGAAAATTTCGTTGAATGTTACGTAATTTCGTTGCTAACATCGTATTATCATTTGAGGCTGCTAAACGGACTGCAGTAATTTCTCGTTTTCGCAATGCGCGTTGTAGCAAGAGCAGCCGCGTGTAAGAAATGCGTTCAACAAAATGTCGAAAGATCCGAGACAGTATTTTTATAGCGAATTTGATTGGACACACTACTGCGCACTGGTGGATATTAAAGTCATTGTATATCTATTGATCTAATTTCAGTGTAAAAATAAAATGCTAATAATTATAAATATTGTATAATCATCTAACTCGTAATATGTAACAACATTAAACAAAAGTAGAAGGTCAATGAACGAGGAATAATTTTTAAATCAAGATAAGTAAGATTTAATTTATTATTTAACATAATAACAATAAAACTGTAAGAGTTTTGAACTCACAGAGTCTTCTGAAATCAGTCTCTTAAAATCAAACCTCAGTCTTTTAAAATGCTAATATCTTGAATGCTAAAACGCTCTATATATATTTTACAAAACGGATACAATAAAGTGCATTGAGAATTTCGTGGTTTAATAAATATTTATATTAAATAAGCATTTTTACGTCGATTTGTGTATTACGGTTTAATGCGTGTTAGTGCGCACTAATGTCTCTCATCGAATTTGCTATTAATCTTTCATCTCCATTCAGAAAATCGACGTGTGTAGCGTTTCGCGGCTCTTTTTTTACCTTGCATCACAGAGCGGCATCACGCTATTGTGCCTGATATTTATTATTCCTTGCTGGTGTTTCCGGTTTTTGTCAGCCACAGGAAGCACGGCGAATCTCGTACGCACAAGAGATCTATCGAGCCCACCCTATCGATCACTTCGTGCCGATAATGCTCATTGTATCAGATTTGTATACTTTACTTGAATGGAAACGTTCTTTCTCCGTTCCGAATCAACGTACATCTCAAGTAAATAATCTCTAAAAATTGCAAGAAGTATTGTATCTACGTCACATCGATGATGATATCTAACTTCTATATTTAATTTTTCTTCCCAGAGCTTTGCGTAATATTTTATATTTTAATTTTTGTATTTGCGTATTATAATATTTAACTTTATACTCAATTATAACAAAATCAATTCTAACAAAATCAATTCTAAATAGATATTCTTAATTAAATAAGTAATTATAATTATTATGACTTATATTAATAGATATAAATATATTTTAATTCTAATAAAATTCCATTTATTTTAATTGCTTTCAATAGACAATGATGACATGATATTAAAAATATTGTAATATACTCAAAGAGAGAGTAATAGTACATCAATAATGAGTGTTTCCCATTTGGTAATACAAGTATCGTTCTAACTTTGTCACTAAATGTTAAGAAAGATAGAATAATGCTTGCGTCAATTTGTGTCACCAAATAGAAAGCACTCAATGATAAGAGTGTTAAAAAAATGCAATATATCAAATTCCCCTTTTTCTTCCCCTTTTCTTCACGCTCGTTAATTTAACCTTCCGTCTGCGATCTAAGTTTTTTATCTAGCCCAAGTTTTTTACTGTTACTAGGTTTTTAAAAAAAAATTCAGAGTTTCTTTTCAACATCTTTAGTTACCGAATAATTTTTTAACTTAAATGTTAAAACTTTTATTTAAAAATTAAAATTTGAGTTAAAAATAAGATGAAATTTGAGAGTAATATAATATTTCACTTCTGCCAAAAACGATCCAGATTACAGACGGAGAGTTAACATGATTTCGCTAAAATTAACTAATTACTCACATTCGTATAGAAGTCCACTTCTTTGTAAGGATTCACAGCCACCAGTATGGATCCCGTGTATGTCTATGTAATATCTACGTTAAGGAATATGTAGCTTGAATAGCATTCAATAAATATAAATATTCGTAGTCCGTGTTGGATATTAATAACATTGTTATCACTGTTAACGTAGAAAAAGTTCTGACATTTCTCTGCCGCTGACATTTTTCCGCGTTCATAGTCATGATATCCCTTACAATACCTATAAGTGCGATACAAGTACATATAAGTGGGCGATAAATGGAGAGACAGAGGCACGAATCGGTCTAAAAACGTGTGACATTTTTAACATTCCCTTTTGTCGCGATCACGCTCGCGATTCCGAGCAAACTCTATTTTATGAAGCGCGAACGGAAAGTTGCGCCAATCCGGTTTTATTGCTCGCCCTATAAAAGAGAAAACTCTCGAAGGCAAATGAAGCGTTTAACGCCGTGTCTATATACAGAATTATCTAGACATGCATACACTTCGTTTTTTTTCTCTAATATTCCATGGATAATTTCGGAATAATATTCTTTTCGATATTTCATCGCTCACCTCAAAAAAGCTTGAAATCAGCAGCTTGAAATTTTATTGCTTCGCTTGAAATTCGATTTGATCTAATTTTAAGTGAATTAAGATAAATTAAAAATAAAAATTTTACTTTTACTTTTGCTCTCTTATTTGTTAATTATTAATTCAAGTAGCATCGATGTCTCGACTTTCATTAAAGAAACATGAAGTTTGAGTTGATTAAAAATATAAATTTAAAATTCAACGTACGATTTGCCTTAGAGTCATTCTGACATATAAAATTGCAATAAAACCGTTAATCTTTCACAAAAAAATAATACAGGCCGTATAAGACAGGCTTGGAACTGCGTCGCGCAATTTTAGACTCGCGAGAATATCGCCAAAGAAATCTCTAGAGACAGAGAAAGATAGAGCGCACAGCTCTGCCGTAAGCCCTATCCCTTGCATAATAACCCGAGGATGACATGCTTTCGCCGGGGGAAAGAGCTCGGTAATGACGTCACGCTCGGGGGCGACCTATAAGGGGTATGACTCATGGCTGGAACCATACCGTTAGCGAAAAAGGGGGTAGTACACCTACATATAACCGCGCTACCCTTCGGCAACATTTGAGACGAGTTAGGGTGCTGATCTATGCTCGAAAGTTCGAAACTCATTTTAACCGATGGTAGGGTGACTATTGAATCCCCTGTCCTGCTGATTAACATTTATAAAATGTCCAGTATTTACGAGTATAAACCAAACTAATAATAAATTCATACTTCCGAAAATATCTACAAATATCAGAAGAATATTTCCTTCATATTATTTTTCATATTATACTTTATATTAACTTTAAAAACAATGAAGAAATGGAGACATAAGGCGGTATTCATAGTCTGTTCTTGTTTTAAAACCGTCTTAAGTAATGTCTTAAGATGCTAATGGCTTTTTGATTGGTTCATGATATCTTAAGATTATACTTAAAACGGTTGGAATTTAAATATAAGATCCAACTATGAATACCGGTCATAGAAAGGAAATTAGCTATAAATAAACTGAAGTTAGTATGCTATTTGAAAAAGTTATGCTGAATATTACAATAATTAATTATTATGTATTATCACAGAGATTAGTTATCTATGTAATTCCTCCTTTTCTATCTTCTTTTTCTCTTTTTTTGTACGTCGATCTTTCTTATATGAAGACAGTTCGCCTACTTCTTTCATACTTTGTGTTTATACTTTATTTATGGCGCTTTATTACTTTATTTATACTTGTATCTTATTCTTTTTGTTTTGGAACAAGCCTGAACGCGTATATTGCCAACACTCGTTGGCGTATAGAAGCTGTCAACCTTTGTGGTGGTTACAGTTCCCAGTTAGAACCTTTGGTCGAAACCCTATCGAAACCCTATTATTACTGAGAAGGATCTAACAATTTAATTAACCCCTTGGGTAATCTCGTCTCGCATAGCCCATCGATAACTTCTTGACTTATACGTTCTCGCTATAATAAAATCAAGTTTAATTACAAATGACACCCGAGTATTGAAAAGTTTATCCATATAGGTGTAGTAGACAAAGAACGGAAGATAGCTCTATTTATTCGCAATAATTTCTAGGATGAAACGGAGTAATTTGGATAAGATAACTGAAATTTTCAAATTGCATAAAAGATTGAGGTCGCATAGTGTATAATTCAATCCTCGAATTCAATCAGACTACAAAACATACACTATAGTGTAATAGCATATACGTTTTGTTCAATTGAATATACTATACGATCTCAAACTTTTACACAATTTAAAAATTTCTATTAACTTATCCAAATTTTCCTGCTTTACTTTATAGAAAGTTTCAATCGATTAAAAAGTTTTCAATTTTTTTTTCGCGAAATTATTATTGCTGTCGCATTCCGAAACACAGGATTGTTATAATGAACTTCTATCATACTTTAATCCATTATCTGCGAATCACGAAACTAGTTTTCCAAAGTATTCCGTGTTTTCAGAACTCCGGTTATTAATATACCGACACGTGCAGATAATTATCAAAACCAAGAACCTGGAATATTCCGTAAACCACGAATAAAAGTCCAGAATATTCTGTGATCTATAAATAACGTGTTTCTAACGAGATCTGTAAGCTGACAGATATCGCCGAACACATAAAAAGAGAGAAACCGAAAAAATAATAACTCTATCAAAGAAAATCAATTTTTTATTTCCGATTTCTTCGACTTTTCGTATACAAAAAATATAGAGTATAAATATATATTGGAAATATAAACCGGAAATAAAAAATTAATTTTCTTTGTTTGATAGAGTGTTATTTCAGATCCTCTCTTTCTCTTTGGCGACGTTTGTCAGCTTGCAGATCTCGTTAGAAACACGTTATTTATAGATATCCGGCAAGATATATTTCGGTTATATTATTAAATGAATACACTGAAAAAAATACTAAATTTTAATAATTATTCGAATAGGTTTACGTAATATTTACTAAATGTAAATTTTAATATATATTTATTTAATATAAAAACCATTAATTTGATTTTTTTTTTAACTATCATTTTTTTAGTAAAGATTTACTTACTCTAAATAAATGTTTACTTAGTACTATTTTAAAAAATATGTATTAAGATTTAGTAAATTTTTTTCAGTGTATATAAATGTGTATGTCATATTTGTTATTTAAACTATAAATAAAATCGTATCAAAATCCAAGTGAAATCGTTGCGAATAATTTCAATATCCCTTTTCCACTAAAAAAATAATTTTTTAATACCTATTTTTAAAAATATTTCAGATCTTTTATTTAAATTAACACAATTATTAATTATAGGAAAATAACAAACTTTCCGTCGTTAGAATAACTTTAAAGATTAAGATATAAGCTATTATTTTCATATCTAAACTTACATATTATTTTTACGAAAATATTTGATTAAATATAAAACAAAAAAGAGGCTAATATAAAGCTTGAATGACAAATTCCTTCAATCAAATCATTCGAAATAAAAAGACGTACTCGTCGGTTTCTCTCTTCTGTTTGAATGGTCCTTTCAATTTTAGGGGCAAAACGAACGATTAAGCGATTTAAGCCAATAATAGCAGCGCGGCGGTGTGACGTCTGGCTGTGAGAGGGTGTGAGGTGTCGGTTACATTTTAATTTAACCGAGCATGCAAGATCAGAGAGTGCAGCTTCGTCGATGAACAGGATGTCGTCCGTTCCTTTGCGCGTGTTTTTCCACGTGCGCTCGATGCGCGCGCGTTCACGCAAACACAGATACCTGCATGTATAAAGGGGGTAGTTCCCTCTCATTAACCTCTCTCACTGGCGAAGCGCCCTTAGCCGACTTGAATTGCACTCGTCGCGGGGGCGGGAACGGGACGATCTCGTGTACCTCTATTACCGGGAGTACAGGAGAGAGTGAAGAAAAAAAGGAAAAAACAAGAGACACACGGCGATGAGAACAGGAGGGTGAATGTCTGGGAGGGTCGCGAGAGGGTTCACCGATGCGAAAAAATTAGGCCACTCGCTCTGGAAAGGGTTAAGCTGCCTGGAAGCTGAACGGTAAGAAAAGCGTTTAATTATCACGCACGATGGATGACTGGGTGATTTCGATCATCGGTTTCTTAACCCTTATTATTTATTCAACCGACCTACTTTTGTAACAAGAAAGCGGAGTCTGTCGCTGCTGTTATGACATTTTTAAATATAACAGACTTAATTGCTCCCTCTGTAAAAGTTTAATTAATATTACATCAACAGTGGACAATGCTGGATTATAGGCACCCCATTTACCCGAATAAGGATTAATTTTTTCACGAGTCAATCTTTTTTTAGAAATTCGGTCTAAGCGCGATTTATACATATATATATATATGTTTTTATTAACTTACTGATATTTGTCTTCGTAAAATATCCAAATTATCAGCATTTTTATCAATTTTTATGGAATTATAAAATTTATTAAAAGTATAATAATTTTTAAATCAATATTTAATACTTTTTTATATGGATTTGATTTGCATTTGAGCGATGGATCACGTAACAGATTGTTATATCATAATACAATTTTTATTCCCGACTCACGTAATTTCGAGATTTAACATACGAGAAACGTGCTTGATGCTCACAGCAAGAGCTGTCTTTACCAGCTGCGAATCTCGTTTGCGCCCACGACGGCGATAAGAAGTGCTCAGTGACGGAGATTCGAAAAGACCGAGGGACCCGCTTTACGAGCCGTTTAATTTTTCGATTACATCAGGCGAGACAAAAAGTGAGCACCGACATGTGTATGTATATATACATACGTGGTGAGGCAGAGCTTAACTCTTCTGGGAAACAAGTTCAGTTTCTTAGCCCCTTCGATGGATGAGATATTTTCTAATTAAGAATTTTATGAAGATTGCATGAAGTCAGAAATTACTTCAAATGTTTTGATGATGATTCAATTATTAAATAGGAACGATTACATTCACAAAATCCCACTAAACTAATATTTCTAATTAATTTAAAAAGAATTTTTTAGAGTGTTTTTAGACGAAATAATTGAATAATTAATAAAAGAACATGTTATTTGGTTAAAAATTATGTATCACGCTGTCACAGAAAATTATGTAGGTACAGTTATCATCTTCATCCGGTCTTATATCGTTTCCATCTAAATGCAACGGAAGATTAGTCTAAGTACATCGTCGCACGCGCTATTCGCATGTACGAGGAATGTTCACTAACGAGCGGATTACCGACGACCTAAATCGCGTGTTTAAATTCCGGTAGCTATAAAGTGGTCAATTAGAGCGAGTATTTGTAGATTTTGGATTCTGCAATACATCAAGTGTCGTGAGATTTTGCAATTATCGGGACTATAATAATCTTCGTACATCTCATTCATTATTACTGCAACGTCTTTAAATGCAACGTCTTTAAATTTGTGTCTCATTCAATCAATTAGATCGAATGATCCAATAGATTGAATGAGATAATTCTGACTGTCAATGATCACGTGTATTTATTATTACATTAAATGTACGCAAAGCAAAACGTAACGTCCGATATTAATTCTGTACAATATCACGTTTCGTGTTAATTCTACACTGAAAAAAATGCATGTAATTTTACATGGAAATTACATGTCTATGATCGAAAAATTACCTAAATATGATCGAAAATTTACAATTTCCAGTAAATTTCCAATCATATTTATGTAATTTAAATAATTTTCCAGTCATAAACATGTAATTTCCATGTAAAATTACATGCATTTTTTTCAGTGTACTAAATAGTACATGTTCGGAATTAATTCGGATGTTGGTTCTTGAATATAATATTGCTGTGATTAGAATTACATGACGTCATCTCGATATTATTCCGATGTTAGACGATCAGACGATCTCTATTTAAAATATTAGTCGCCGATTATTTCATCGAGCTAAATGTGCCTCGAATTATTGATGATCCACGGATTTTCATATCGTTATTCATAATCGGTAAAGGAGGAAGGGAAGGATTGACAGTAGGTCGTTGCGACATTGTTGGGTCGTTGGCAAAGTCGATGAGAGATGAATGGGTCTGACCCTGGGGTGATTCGCCAGCTGACTGAGATCGTCATAGCAACGCGACAACCTAGGACTCTGCCCACCCCTGCAATGTGAATATGAACGCGTCCCTCTCGCGTGCCACCTCCCTCGGTCAATTTATTTTTTTCTCTCCCTCTACTCTATGCCGATCTCTTTCTCGGATGAAATCGGTTAATCTCTCGTCACCCACCTATTCCTCCATTCATTTGCCTAATTTGAATGAAGGCACAAGTAAACGGAATCGTACATAAAATAAATAAAAAACGTGTACACTCGAAGAACAAAAATGCATAATTTTTCAGTTTTAATTGTAGTAATATTGAGATAAACAAAATCGTTATATTTTTTCAATGTTATCAATTGTTTTTAAATATTTTTGTTTGTATATGCTGTATGAGTGATTATTTTGAAATTTTTAGATTTTCAAATTTGTCAAAGATAATTATATCATAATTATTACAAGACTAATTTTACTTGTCTAATATAATCATTTAAGGCCTGTTCTTTTTGGCTGAACTTTTGCACCAGTTAACCTTTGTTCCTCTTCTTTCCTCCTGAAGAGAAAAGGAAGAAAGATGAACTGGTGCAAAAGTTCAGTCAAAAAGAACAGGTCTTTAGAAAGATCTATTTCAGACATCGATTTATATTGTATCTCGAGTTATCGTAACTTTAGTATTTCAAGCATCAAAGAGACATAACAATAATTTTGCATCGAATAACTATATATCGTAAGAAATAAAGGATACGTATATCTGGTCCCTACTGTACCGAACTTGAAGATTCCGATTGATACCGATCTCGTCGATATTGCTGATGACTGTCATGTCCGGCACGCCGCACTCAGGGCTTGAGCCTGAAAAGTAAAAAGAAAAAGACACTATAAAAAATGATTGTAAGAGAAAATTGTAAGATTTGAAATAAGCCTCATTTAAAATCCTTATCTAACCCTCCGGAGTTGATGCCAGAATTTGTAACACGGTTATATTGACGTTAGGTCTGTAAGATCCATTTAATTACATTAATTAAAAGACACTAATTAATTTCAAGGTGATATAACTCATATAAAAAAAAAAGAATGAATGCTAAGTATATCTTAACAAGAATAATCCGCAAATATAACATAAAGAAAATTGAATTGTTTGAAAAAAAGATTTATAACTGAATGGATTCAATAGTTTCATTATCAGCTTCAAAAGGAGCAGTAATTAATCATATTCATTTATTATACTTTTCAAAGTTTTTCCAGATAGACACTCAGAGATTTTTTAACATTATTGATTAATCTTAAATAGTTAAATATTCAAATATGATAATAAGCAGAAAAGTATAATTAAAAAGTGATGAAATTAAAACTATTAGTAATTATTCAAAGATATCTTTGTTGATTGCTCGGCACTTCTGGCTAATATCGAATTTCAACTCGATTACATTCCTGGGGTGAACTCACATATCAAAGGGAATCATGCTTGACCACCTGTTGTTCAATAAGTGAAAATTATGCTTCGAAGGTGAACAACTTTTTAATAATTCTGTAACGTCATAAAAGTTTTACGAGTTACTTATTAAAATATTCTCTACAATTTTCTTGTTATTTTTATATCAAGATTACACAGACAGAGAGACCGACTTTAAGACACGAAAGCGATTTAAATTCCTTCTAATTTGAAAATTATACCTTGAAAATTTAACTTTGCGAGCAAATCTCATGTTTTTATTGAATATATATCCATGAAATTAAGTATCGTGAATTACACCGCCAATTCGTGGCAACAATTCGATACAGTTGATCGTTATCCTGTCAAATTTTACTGTTTCGTGTTTCGAAATCAATTTGCGACACAGTGCAACACGAAACACACACACACACAGAAAGAATTAATCATTTGGTGCGCTTCATCTCGACGGTAGTCTACGCGCCGACGGCGAAGAATCAAGTTTCGTGATTCGCAGGTGCAACCCGGTGCGCACATGCATCTGTAACTATGCACCACTCAATCGCACCTGCGCTACCCAGCTGCCGCATCGTAATTTCAAGGTCGCGATTAACGGGAATTTGGACAAGGACCTGATCGACTAATTTTGCGATCGGTGACTCGGAGCCGAAATGAAAATCAATTATGCAGCTGCCTTCTTAAACTGCTGCTTTCTTCAGAGCCACGTATTAAGCTCATTTAGAAAAAGAAATTAATAAGTGATAAAAACGACGATATGAATTATGGCTAATTAATGTGGCATAGTTTAATAATGACGTCAAGCTAATCAGTGGCAGCAGTGATTCAGAAATTTATTAGCGAGTTTCACGTATGTTGTTTCAATAGTATATGTTAGTTATTGATTTAATACGATTATAATGTATAATCGTATTAAATTTATAATGAAATGATATTAATTGTATGAAATAGAAGAACCGTCTATATTTAGACAGTTACGTGCGTCAATAATATTCAGGTGACAACTCTTATTTAATGGAGGTATTTTACCAAGTTTTCGAAAAAAGTTTATCCAAATTCGTGTGTTAATATTTCAATTTGCAAGAAGTAAGTTTCCTATAAAGTATAACTTTATCTATTCTCTTTTTAGGTTCCTGTGTGCTTATTTTTATTCAGCGATAAAACAACGCGTCACTTTTTTTACCCAACGGCGAATCACCATCTGTTTCCTGAATACCATCGAAAAACGTCCGGTTGAAGATGCTTTTACATAAAAATCGCGCAATATGTTCTATCTAATTTTAATTACAATTCTATAACGATCTTAATAAAATTAAATCAAATTATGATATCCTTCGCGGCCGAGCGATCCTGAGAAATTATCGAAAATTCTGGATATAGAAAAATCTGATTCTGGTATTAATTAAAACATGAAACATAAATCCGATACATTAAAATTTTTTATCATTCAGAAACAGTGATAAAAAGTACAGTTTAAAAATTCCATTAAAAATTATCTACAATATTTTACACAATATCGAATATATGCGTCTGCAATTAAATATACACGAAAATATCGATCGATTAAAAATCCATTATGTTACATATATCATTCTCTATTACATATCTAAAAAGCCACACAAACAATTTTCACGTCTTATTCACATCTAATATATCCTATGTCGTTAGATAACTATTCTTTCTATTGTAAGATATAAATCTTTCTATTGCCAGCGTTCATTCCAGTTTCGAAATTGCCCCATGGAATCACACTCGATCAATTCCAGCGACATGAAGAAACATAAATCGCACGTTTGAGATTGGAGTAAGCCGAGGAAATGTTGTACAGAACAAAGAGCAGTCACGAACGACTGCAACCGGGGGAAAGAATTAAAATGCACAACTGGCACGGGTGCCCACATGGCGCAATGTAGTTACCGTCGTGCGTGCGCGTATTTGTGTTCATATGCGTGTGTACGATAGTATTATACACGTAGTATCCTTTTTATATAGTATTATATTTGAAAGGATCATTGAAAGAAAAGTGTTTGGTACTAGAATGAGAAATCTTGTGACTAGAATTGATAATAATTATTGTTAGGAATTCCATTTTTATATAGTTATTATATAACTATAAAAATATTGCATTAATATTAGTAATAATGTATTACAATATTAGTAATAATAATCATATATAACCTCTCAAACCTCTCTCCATAAAAAACTTTGTTATGAATTATGATAATTTCAAATATTAATATAGTACAATATCAAGATATAAATGATAAATAAAATAAATATTTTATTCAGCACATACAATTATAGTAAATGTAACTGTTTTCTTAAATTCACTTACTATCTATGTAGTAATAACTAAAAAATGTGTTAAAAAAGAACTAAAAATTTTCCAACAGTGGTGTATGTGACTATTATTAATAACATAATTGATTATATTTGCATGATTAAAACAACTATAAATATATCGTTGTCTCAAACAATGACTGTAAATTATAATTAAATATTACAGTAATTGCAACCATTTTTTCCCGTCAGTGTAATTCTTTCACACGGACGTAGGGGCAGAGAACACGCGCCTTGGATTCGCATGACAGAAGGAAGGACATGCGTAAAGTTCTACGTGCCGTTTGTCGTATCAGAAGCGATAAAACGTTCAGTTTACACAGAGTATATCAGAATTCACTCGGGCGTATCAGTTTCCTTTGTTAAAAATTTCTCGCTAAATCTGATATTAATGTTTTCACAGCGGAAGTTCGGCATCACAAAGCCGCAATTTAATTTTTTTATTGGTATGTGAATGTATCATGTGGATGTAATCAAATTAAGTAAATTACGGGTGATACTTAACGATCTTGAAGTAATCTTATATCTATGCTGTCAGAACGACTTAATTAAATTAATTAATCTAATTTAGTTGAATTTCTTGATTATTAAATCTTGAATTAATATTTTACTACGACTAATTTGTAAGTCCTCTTAAAATTGAAGGAAGAAAAAAATATCATTTTTTCAAAGCTATTAATTTGCAAAATATATAAGAACATGAATTTGCTGATCAATTTGAATAATTCCGTCATTAAGTCACCGTAATGTTCTTCAGGTTCCTGCCAGATTCCGGAAATTTACCAGATAATTCATACTTGAGTGAAAGCGTGTAACACACCCTGTGCAATCAATGCCAACCGACGATGAAACTAGTTCCACGTAGTCGTTTATGATATACACGAAACACGCGATGATTCATTTTGAATGCATACCAGAATACCGGGGAAACCTGCTTCTTAGAAATGTCACACCGATGACTCATTGGCCCGGAGAACGAGATCTCAAACGATTACGCGGGTATATCTCATCCGGGGAAAGTTTCTCGCGTCGCCGCGATCGCATCGAATCCAATTTCCTAGAACTCTGACACTGCGAGGGAACCATGAGAAATAACATCGATGAGCGCAATCAGTGAGATTTCCCGCGAATGTCTCACTGCCGCCTACGAAAAGAAACCGTATTCCGTCTCAATAAGATACGAATTAATTAAAATTTATCATTTATTATATCAGTTAATATGTTTATCATCTCTCCATGTATATATAAGCCTGCTTTTTTTAGCTGAACTTTTGCACCAGTTCATCTTTCTTCCTTTTCTCTCTAGGAAGAAAGAAGAGGAAGAAAGATGAATTGGTTCAAAAGTTCAGCCAAAAAGAACAGGCCTCTTATGTTCATAAAAGGAGGAAAGAAAATGTGAGGAGAGCAGTTAAATTATTTCATTTGATATAAACATATACGTAGAGGAGAAGGTGGTATTATAACCAGTGTATAATATTGTGATCTCCCTTAATATCTCCACTATTATAGCGAATCCTAATTACTTATGGAATAATTTGTTCAGTAGCTCGCCGTTACACCATAACGCTAATATAGCAATACTCAATAGCCCAGCACTTATTATAACGCATTTTTACTTTCAAGTATTTCGAAACGTTTCTAAGGTACATTTTAGCATGTAATTCCTTATTTTTCTTAAACTTGAGCGTATTATCACATGAATATATATATTTTTGAGTGTGTTATTTGCTATTTAACATTTTATTTGACTGTATATATTTTGAGTTATGCAAATTTAAACAATAGCATGACATTTTGCTAATGTGGCCCTCTATGGGATTGACTCACGACCTCTTTTTTAAGGTTTTCATATCAAAATAATTAATTGATAATCGTTGTAGCTCTACTGTTAATCTACCTAGTTTATATTACGTGTACTATTTTTAGTACTGAGATTTTTAGTACTGAGCAGCTTATATGCAAAAGTTATGTGAATGTATACACATTCACTCTTGCATACATTTTAAAATGCTTTACTTTTTTGTTAATTTTATAACCAAATACTGTTTTCTAAATAAAACTA